GCTTTGGTTCCTTTGGTTCATGAATTATGCAGCAGACTGGTTGCAGTCTCTGCATACTAACAGCTCTGCTGCTTCATCCTGAGCTCCTTTTATGATGACCGAATTCTGTTTCTGATGTTTTCTTCGTTTCAGGCAAATTTCTGTTATCGCTGAGCTCAAAGCCACAAAAAACATTCAGCGATCTGATTTCAGATTTACAACGTTTTTAATTGGGGCATCTCTAAGCAACAGAGTGAGGTGGAGCATTAGAGGTGCGAAAACTCAGATATTTCAAAATGAAGGCCAAAAAAAAAAGATAATACTAAGCTATTAATTGTTCTTCTGAATAGGGAATAAGATTGAAATGGGTCCTTCTACTTCTAGACGCACTTTAAAGCCAAATGTATGTGGACATGTGAGCGTTTCAGAGCTATAAGCATTAACCTAGTGTTATTACATCATGCACTCATCCAGGGAGGTTGTTCATAACGTGCAGGAAAGGAATCTGTTTCTTTTCAGGCACAGAAGCATTAGTTACACCCAACACATGTTAACAAGAATAACCTTTTAATTTAAATTCAACATAAACGTTCATCTATATTACAGCAAGTCCCTATTTCCTGGGTGAAAGCCAAACACGATGGCGGTGTCAGTGATTCATTAGCGCTGGATGTGTCAGTCCAGACCTGTAAAAAAGACCATTTCTCACTGTGTGTCATTAACACTGTTTCAACATTACTGAACACCACAAACTGCCCAGCAGCTGATTCTATTTACAACCCAAATTCACAGCAGTTACAGAATTTCGATCAGCAAACAGAAATGGCTTTCTTTCTTTGTCAATGCGGTCACAGTCTGCCTCCCAGTGGATAGACAGGAGAAGATACAGCATTTACTGTTATGTTGATTTAATCTGTTTAACTTGATTCTCTTTAATATGATAAATCTTGATGAAAAAAACAGGCTCTCTGCAAGTGGCTTGCTTAAACAATAATGCCTATCAGAACAGCTGGGTTTTTATTTCCTTACAATGTGCACATTTATTCCTGTTTCCTACCAACTCTGGTCTGG